AACTCTTTTTAATATATTTTCTTTTATTATTAGTTTAATTTTAATAAAAATTACAAAAACATAATTGGTATGTTTATTTAAACTTTTTTTTTCTTTCTAAAAGTGTTTCACTTTAATAAAATAAACGTTTTTCTTTTAATTTTTTAATGTGTTTCTCTAAATTTTATTTTTTAAAATTATTTTTTTTAACTTTTTTTTAATAAACAACTCTATTTGTTTCTCAAAAAATTACTTTTTTTAAAAGCACTTGTTTATAAATATTTCTTTTTAAATTTAAATAAACGGACTCAATAAGTTCTACTTCTTTTTAATGAGCTACATTCATAATATTATAGTTTCTAATAAATATTAATTAATTTTAATTCTATTGTTACAACTCCTCTATATAGTATAAAACCTCTGATTCTTTCTTATAACAACTAAATATTAATGGTGAATTCTCCCTAATCTCACTCGATCTTCAACGATTGTATATTGATATGTATTTTCCAAGTAAGCACATTAGCTAAATAAGTGTGAAATATATAAGTATATAGATAATGATATGGACATATTTGAATAAGAAGATGGTAAGAGAATAATTCTGGAATATAGTAGCAGTGTTTGGGTTTATGCGGAATGAGAATAATCCTTTTTACAGAGTTGAAAGACCAATGAATTAGGGTTGCTTTCTTAGTGGGTCAAGACATTTAAAAGATCCAAGAATTTGGTCACACGCTCACACTACTTAGAATTTGTTCAGCTGACTGAGTCTGCCGACTTCATTTATACCTAACACAGTTGAATGCTTCTCTGTCTCTCTTTCCAAATAAATATATTAAGATGCTTTATTTTTTCTTTTTTTCCCTAGACAACAAGTGTTATTCATGTTGGACATTTTTGTTTGAGGGAAATTAATACAATTATTATAGTCTCATACTAAGTATTTAGTTTAATTATATATTCAAGATTTGAATTTGAAAGTTAAAATAATCTTTTGTCAATTGATTCATGCGTTGATCGGTTGAAAAAGATGCCTAATTAAACTTTGGTCACGGGAAGGAAAAATTAAAATGGTTAATTAAACTTTGGTCAAGGAGAGAAAAAAATTAAGGCCTTTTACCCTCGTCCTATGTTATGAAGGAGCACCAGTTTCAACGGCAACATGTGTCGTGTTATCATTAATAAATAATCTTATTCTTTAAAAACGTATTTAACCATTTGATTCTTTGGTCTATGAAGGTATAGTTTAATTAAAAAATAAAGTTTCAACAGCAAAACAAAAGAGTTTCCAGCAAATACCCACTTGTGGCCATTGGCCAAGTGTACGAGGAGGTTGGGAAGCACTGATAGATACAGCAAAACACAGATATTATACAATATGATTATAACTATAGGCATATATAATGATTTTTTTAAGTTGTAGCACATATATAGTGTGTTTACTTCACAATGTGCAAAATTATTTTAAAATAAAAACAATCTCAAATTATAAGAGATGATTCAAAATTACTATGTGAGAAATCAAAGTTTTATATTCTTGGTAAGAGAAGCGTTAACGTTAAATGTTTGAGTGTCTCAAATAGGATTACTTTTGCTAAAAAGAAAAAAAGTACTTGTAGGAAACAAAAAGGAAACAAAATAATATATGTATTAATGGTGTAAAAAAAATTATATTATCAATCACTTAGAAATTATTATGTATATAATTTGTTAACTTTTATAATGATTATTTAAAAGTTATCTTATCATAATTTTTTATTGACTGATAGTGTAAAAAATTTCTATATGTACAAAAGTTAAAACCTTTCATTTTTCATTGTATTAAAGTTTTTAAAAAAATTATAAAAATGTAGCTAAATTTTTAAAAGTATTTATGTAATATTCAACATTAGTAGGTGTCTATACAATTACCACGTAACATTAGTTTATAAGCATAGATGTTTATTTATGTCACTGATGTATCTACTTTACAAAAAATATATTGACAAATAAATTCTTTTATATAGAAGGGGCGTTAGTAAAGGCTAGAAACACATGGAAAACCTTTAAATTCATTTTAGAAACGATCACGATCGATAACTTAGCGTAACCTAAACGTTTGACTAAATTAATTTTAAGGATAATTTTAAAATATAATTTATTTATTTAAAAATATCTACTTATTCAAATTTTAAATATAATTTATACATTTAAATATAGTATTTATTTATACACATAATTTATTTTAAATTTTAGTTATATAATAAATATTTAACATATGTATACACATACTAAAATATTATTTTATAATTAATAAAAAAAATACGTTTTTTTTAATACATTTTGTAAATCATTTTATCTCTTAATTTTTTTTATAAAAAATTTTTCTCATAATTTTTTATTTAATTTTTTATTTTTATAAATTTATTTTTTAAACATTTCACACTCTTTAAATAACTATTAAAAAATGTCCACGTTTTATAATCCTTAACTACTCAAATATACTTAACATCAATCAATTGCTATATGAGAGTTCTATTTCGAAGATAGTAATTTTCTCTTTTGTTTTTGTTTGCATATGTTACCAAAAAATATTTTTTTAATATTAATCATTTTTATTTTTACATAAAATATATGATTAAAAAAATACATAAAACACAGGCGCATAATAATAATAGCAGTGTCACACTATTTATAACGGAATTAATTATCATTTATTTGCATTAATATAATAAAGGTAACGTCAAATTTGTCAATATACATTATAATTAAACCTTCATAAATTTGTTAAGTATTAACTGTAATAAAGTAAATAAAAAAATGACATTGACTAGTCAAAACAACTCTATACTTTATACACGTATACAGTAAATATCGTAATTGTTGTTCATGTGACCTTGCAAAGGCAAAGCAAATTGGATGAGTTTAATGTAAATAAAAAATAAAAAATAAAAAATAAATGAATGCGTTTTGATGAGTTTCTCTTATCAATATTTAATTGCACTATTACATTCGTATTTTACACGTGGTTGCTGTAAAAAAATACATGTGGTTATTTTTTTACATGATTTGTATTTTACTTTAATTCTTTTAATTTGAATTTTTGCATTTAATATTCATTATTTTTTAATTATTCAAATTAAGATATCATCATTCCATCAAATAGTTTAAAAAAAATGTAACATGTATGCGATATACTGTTAATTTATTCGCAAGGAAAAAAGTAAGTATTGAATATTTAAATAAAAATTTAAAAATTATTAGATACAATTTTTAAAATGATTAACTTAATTTCAACAAGTAGAAAAGTAGGAAAACTAAATATGTGTAATCAAAATTAATTATAGGAACACTAAAATCACACGTAAAACTAAAATATCAAAGTCAAAAGTGAAATTAATTTTATTTTTATAAAAATATCATTGTCAGCTTCTGTTTGCATTTTTCTTAACCAGCTTAGTGTTTTTTTTAACATTATAATTAAGATATTTTTGTCTTATGACATGGTAAATATGACATCTAGTTCATATAGTTGTTCGTTAGTGTCAGGATACATAATGATTACAATATTTAGTTTGAGTGGTGGTATAAAATTAATATTAATGTTAGATATTTATACAGCTGTGAAAATGGGCCAGTCCGGTCTGTTTCGCCCGGCTCACCTCAACTCACTTTTAAATGGATCAATCTGGTCCAGCCTACTAAATTTATTATGTAAATTTTTTTAGCCCGGTCTGCCCCATCAACTCACCTGATTTTTTTTAAAAAATTATAATTTAAAATAAATTTCAATATAAAATAATGTTTAATCTAAAGTAAAAACTATCAAACTAAGTATCATGGATACAACATTAAAATTAAATTAAAAAGTGTACAACTTAAAAAAATTAAAACAAAAAAATAAAAATTCTTTCATGAAAGTGATTATTCATCAATATCAAATTTTATTGGAGGTTTGGGTAGATAAATTTATACCAATTTCATATTGTTTAACATTGATTTTATCTTTATCTATAAAAAAAGATATCTTATTAAAATAATGCATATGTAATAATAAATAGTTAAGTGAGTTGTTAGTGGGTTAAGTTGATGGGTTGGTAAGTGGGTCAGGTGGGCCGCCCAATCCACTACGAGTTCAACCCGGGTAAGCCGGGTTGAAAGTGGGCCAGGTCACATTTTTGACCCATCATAAATTTTTGTTTATTTTTTTGGCTCGGCCTATCCCGTTTTCAAGGTGGGCCGGGTTGACCTACGAGTTGGAGTCTACTTTGACAACTTTAGATATTTATGTATCAGTTTAAATGATGATATTGGAAATATCTGATGAGGTTTGATTTATCATTCCACACTTTTGCATAATTGAATTTTTTACACAAATATAATTTTTTTTAAAAAAAATTACCCAAAGAGAACCTGTTACACATTATTTACAAGAGTAGCACAGTTCACTGTTCAAGCTCAGAATTTAGTTATCGAGAAATCAAATTCTGAGCAGCGTTATATATATATATATATATTTTACATTTTGGATTTAGGTAATGTGTTAATTTTATATCTTGAACGGTCCATTCTGAAAACAGAACGATTCGTTCTGAAAACAGAACGGTTCGTTCTGAAATCAAAACAGTCCGTTCTGTTTCCACTCGTCATGTGTTAATTTTGTATCTGAAATGATCCGTACCATTCCAGATACAAAATTAACATATGACAAAGAAAAGCAGAACGACCAAAATTCAATTTTTTGAAAATTAAATTCTGAGCTTAAATAATAAATCGTGCTACTCTAGTAAATAATGTAGAAGATGTTTTTTTTCAGGTAATTTTATAATAGCGTGAGATGGAATAGAAAATTGTGTGGTAAGTGAAAATATTAGTGAGGGAGAAAAAGTTATTGTATTGTTGTGAGGAGAGAAAGGCAGAGAAAAAGAGAAGGGATAAAATAATGGATTTCCAAAATGAAAAAAGAAACAAAAAAGAAGAAGGTTCTCATAAGCAGCGCAGAAGAAAACGAAAAACAGGTCCTCCCTGTCCCTGCTTGCCTCGTAATCCAAAGCCGCCCCTATTTCCTTTTCCTTTTGCTTTGCGCCTACAAATATGAAAACCTTCCCAACGTTTTCTCCCATCTTCCTCTCTCTGCATCACATCACCCTTCCATTCTCTCACACATCTTTTTTCCTCTTCCTCTTCCGAGGTATTCCCATTTTCTCGCATTGCGATCTGCCTTTTCTTCCCCTTCTTCTGATTGCCTCCGCTTTCTAAACTTTTCTTTTCTTCTTTCTAATTTTTAACTGGGTTTTCTTCTACCTGCTGGAAATTCTTAATGGTTTTTCTTTTAAAAAAAATATTTTTTTTGTCTCCAAATTTTCATGGTGAGGGATCAGAGTCGGACAGAGACAGCTTTTGAGAAAGAAAAGCCTGTCAATTGTTGTCATGTATTCGTGGAAGTTGATGAAATAGGGGCTTATCTCTATTTAAATCTCATTTGCATATTTTGGCTGTTGTTTTTTATTCCACAGCTTGTAAATGTCTTCTAATCTCAATGGATTTTCTGGACTCTGTTTTCTTTACAATGGAATTCTGCGCATATTGTTAGATCCCTTGGTGATTGATGTGGTATTCATCTGTTTATGTTTTTGGGTTCAGGGCTTATCTTAAACCAGGATTTTGGGCACAGATTTCTCTATGGTGAGCATCCCTTTTTCCTGCTATTTCATTCAGGATTTGGATGGTGGTTAAAGTTTGTAATACTGTCTAGTTTCAAGTGGAATGTAAATAGATTATGATGTTCAAATATGGATCAAAGTGATAATCTATCGTTGGTTGTGATCACTAGGGAGAAGCACCGGCATTGCTTGTTGATGACATTCAGGGTGGGGCTCTGAATGGCCTGGAATTGAAAAACGGAACTTGCAAAACAACTGCTACGGTTGGTGATAAGACGGTGAGTATATGCAATATGCTATGAAACGAAGATAATCTCTATGTATGTTGTCACTGGTAATTAAATTGGTCCCTAGCCAATTTTTCTGCATAAAGCAAAAAGTGAGCCTCCATTTTTTTGACAGTATGTCATTGGTGGATCTGATGATGGAACTTTGTCCATTGAAGTTCAAATTTTTGACCCTAGTCTTGGAGAATGGTCAGTTTAAGTTTTCTCAGCTTCGTAGCTGCTTCTCTCAGGCTTTTGTTGCTGATATCTGTTTGAAATTTCAGGGTTCGTCCCACTGTGAGGGGCACCAAACCCACGTCATGCAAAGGCCTCTCAGCAGTGCCTTTGGAAGACAGAATACTAATTCTTAAGAAGGGTTCCAAGTCAGATGATCAAATATGGTTCCTGGAGGTTGGTGCTTTACGGATGCAATCCTCAGTCTATTCATATAATAATGAAAGAATATTAATGCATGGAAACTCTGTAACAACGTTAGATTTCTAGCAAATGCCTAACAGATGGTAAATGTCTCATTTTCTCAATATTGGCAGGTTGACACCGAATATGTTAGGCAGCAGCAAAAATCTTTGGGGACTGAGGTGGTTGCCTGGAGTAAAGGTGTGATAGGCAATGCTGAGAAGCCTGTTGTTATTAGTGGTCCTTCTGGAGTGGGTAAAGGAACATTGATATCAATGCTCATGAAGGAATTCCCATCTATGTTTGGTTTTTCTGTAAGCCACACCACGCGTGCCCCGAGAGGAATGGAAAAAGATGGTGTCCATTACCATTTTACAGAGAAGAGTATAATGGAGAAAGAGATCAAGGAGGGAAAGTTTCTTGAGTTTGCTTTAGTCCATGGTAATCTGTATGGAACTAGTGTTGAGGCTGTTGAACAGGTTGCAGATGCAGGGAAAGTAAGTTGCTTCTGGTTTATTATTAATTTTATTGGAAGCTTTGGTATTTAGAACATGAAATTGCAGGCTTTATTATCCAAATCAATCTTTGTGCAAAGGAGCCTTGCTCTTATTTGTCCTGATTTCAACCAAAGGTTTTAAATTAGTTATTATGTTTTTTTCTTAAAGTTTTATTTATAAATGGCTTTTGTCATTTTTTTTTTCTCTTCAAATCTCGATGACATTTATAAAATATCCTTACTCTTGTGAGAATCAGAATCAAGACTTTACAATACATAAAATGCAATGTATTGTACTCTGTCTCTTGTTGGTAATGAAATTAAATTTTCTGTTTGATTATTATGGGTGTAATATTATTTGATTATTTCAACATTGTGAGATTGCCTTCCTTCAGATATTATTTTTTACTTCTCTTACCTGAGATAATGATTTTTTTTTTTCAATTGATTCAGAGATGTATTCTCGATATTGATGTTCAAGGGGCAAGATCTGTGAGGGCTAGTTCTCTTGAAGCCATATTCATCTTTATCTGTCCCCCGTCAATGGAGGAACTGGAGAAGCGCCTTCGTGACCGGTAAGTTGTTTGCTCCTTAGTGATGCATTTTTATTTCTCAAGCAGGCCACAATTTTGGGTTAAACTCTGCTTTGAAATCAGAGGTACCGAGACTGAGGAACAGATCCTGAAGCGACTAAATAACGCCAAGGCTGAGATTGAGCAAGGGGAATCTTCTCACGTATTTGATTTCATCCTATACAATGACAAACTTGAGGAGTGCTATGAGAGTCTTAAGGTATGGTGTTTCTGAAGGAAAAGCCTCCAGAATCTTTGAGATGTTTTTTAACCATTAATCATCCTGATACAAAGTATCCATTGGTGCAGAAACTATTGGGACTTGATGGTTTTGTCACTGCTCCACCTAAATCAGGTAAGAATTTTCTTAATAGAACTTGATGTGTAGTTTCACAATTATAAAACCATGAAGCTAAATTGATGTGTTTAATCTGTTAATCCAACAGGCCATAATAGAGAGATTGATCTACCAATGGACCATTCAGTGTCAAAAATTGAAAACAAAATCATCATAAACTGCATCTCCTCAGGAGAGAAGGAATCAAAGAATTTGTAAGCTTTCAGAACACGTAACTTATTCCACACCATCAAAGGTTATCATACTGACGTTGAATTTTTGTTAGCAGGATCATCTTGGATGTTTCCTCACTAAAAGGGGGTGCACCTGGACGGACTAGAGGGCTAAATTTCCAAACCATTGGCTCGTTTTCGAACGGCTTGAACGGGATAGACCAGCTTAGCTAACATTCAACGAAACTAACTTGGTATCATACACATGAAATTGGGACACGTGATAAGGCATTAGATTCAAGTCTTAAAACATTTTTTACCCTTGTGGCGTTCTTTGATTGTTATAACTGTTGAAATTGACTTGAGGGGTGTTGGCAATCTCTCAATTATAATTCCCTACATAGGCAATGAGATTATTTGTGTTGTTGCATGTCAAGGAAGGCAAAATATGGTTGTTGAAGTCTCTCTATTTTCCCCACCCCAAGATCTGATGTGTTATGGGAAATACCAAGGGGGCCCAACAACAAGAGCACTTCAAAGATGTCTGTTAGACATTAGGTATTAGACTAGGCATGGCTATTCATTGATTCAAGCCATACGTTCTACACATTAAATTTGTTGGATAAATGTTTTATGTCATGATCGTGCTTTTTAGATTCCATCAGTTACATTATAGCGTTTGTTATGTTAACATCCACTTCTTTTGGCAACCACATATTCAACTAAGGAGGGTTCCCCCATTTAACACCCTTAGTGATCCAACCTCTAACGGGTTTAGAAGTGGTACTTTTATCCCCACATATTGGCTGTGTCACGAATCTATTCCAATCTGAGCATTGAGCGAGGCAGTTCTAGAGCCTTGTTAACTTGACCAACCATTTGGTGGTCCAGAGCCTTTTTAAGTTTCTGATAAACATAATGAGCTTATAAAGGGTCTTGGCAGAACAGAACAGATAAAGATAAATTGGGCTTAGGATAAAGTAATTAAACATAATGATTACATAAAATTACTTAATACCCTATGTGAATTGAGCTTACAGAGGCAAAATGTCGAAAAAGATTTGTAGAAAATAGTAATTATGCGGGATGATTTTTCGTACCATACCCCATCATACCAAAATGCCATTGCTAATGAAGAATGAGCAAAAACTTGGTCATAGACGGAACTAAGAAAAGGGTTTATGGAATCGTATGATCTCTTCCGTTGGAAAGGAAAAGAAAAACGTTTTCTTCATGTGACACTTTGAACAATGTGAATATATCGGAATGCGTGGACAAGATGATTAAAACATGACAACACCGAAACCAAACTATACCAAGAATATAATAGATGAAGGCAAGTCTTGCAAGATCTTCATAGTCTTTTGGAACAAGTACTTAAGGTCAATGACAACCGACAGGTTGACCTAAAGCAAAGGTGTAAAAGAGCAATCGCAAATAGAAAGTCGGCGTGTTTGGATTTTTTTAGTTTATAGTGACTTATTTTTTACAAGAACATTTTACTTTCCCATAACACTTGAATGTGAGTTAATAATGTATATGATGAATTGTGAAAAAGATGAAGTTGGGGGAGAAGAATAAGGAAAGGGCGTTGTGAAGGCAGAAGGAAAAGTGTTGTGACATGGTCTAGTTTGGCTAAGAAGGGGTTGTGAGACGGACATAAACCGAGAGTGATGTGTCGTTCAAGGAAGGCCCTCCTCACCCTCCAATCCAATGGCGGTGGGTTCGGCCCAATTAAATAAAAAGCATTCAAATCCAACTAGTTGTTGTATGTATAAGGTCAGTATTGTTCCACATTTAAATTTGAAGGAATGAATGGGGAAGGTTCCTGAGTTGGGTGGTGGTGCAACTTGCCATCTCTGCACCCAACCTTTTGCCTGTGGGGCCCACAATTGTCCTTTTCCTTTTACTAAGTGCTAACAACACACCTATCTTTCTCTTTCTCTTCGGTGGAAAACAGGATCCTTCACAGCCAACAATCACCTCACGTGATTCTCATTCTGATTGTCACTGCAGTTTTAATTCTTTTACTTCTTTTCCACTCTGCATTATTTACGCTCTTTCTTTTTATTTTATTTTATTCTATGTTTATTTTATTTTTGTTTACGAATTTCAATCCTTCTCTTTCTTTTATTCTCTTCTTTCTTAGGTTTTTGTCCACATACTTTTGGTTAAACAAGGTTAAGATCTTTGTGTTTTCATTTCGAGCGTGTCATAATAACTAATAATTATTATTAAATTAAAATAAATAATTTAAATTAAAATTTTATAAACAAAATTATTATATACTACCATCATTATTAAAAAAAAAATTATCATTATTGTTGTTATTTACATCACGTCTATTATACTTTTGTCATATTATTATCACTATCAATGATGATAGTAGTAATGATTTATACAACTATTACCATCACAATTGTTATTGTCATCGTTTTCATCACCATTATTGGTGATGATGACAACAATGTGATAATAGTAATACCAATGATAATGATGATATGGTAACAAAATAATAGTAGTAATAACGATGACAATGGTGATTTGATAGCAGTATAATGGAGGTGATTGTACTAACAACAATAACAATAACAGAGATAAGAATAACAATGATAAAAAAAATTATAATAACAGTGGTATATTATAACTTTATTTATATTTTTTTAATCTTGACCGTTTATTTTAAACTAATATTTATTATTAACTATTCTCATATTAATAAATATTCTTACTTGACTTTTTTTGAAGAGTCAATTTATACTGATAATATATATATATATATAAAATACAACTAATAATAAAAATACTCATGAAAATTACTACTTATATAAAATGTATATCATAGACAGAGAATATACCTTCATTTGATTTTCAGGGTCTATTAGATATTGATATTCTTTTATTATAATTCTTTTTTGTTAGTATTATATCTCTTAAAGATAAAATAGGAAAAAAAATTATTATACAAAAAATTAATTGTTCACTCTATTAATAACATACTTATTTTGTAACTACCTTCTATTTATTGAAGATTATTTTAAGCTTTTCTATTTATACATTATTTCACTTGATTTACATGTTACTTCTATTATTTATAAATAAAATTCACATATACATGAAGCGTCTATTTTCTTGTAGTAAACATTAAAAGAAATGTTCACATGAAGATAGTAATGTTCAAGAATCATTCCAAAATGTTAGATATATTAAAAAAAAAAACTGAAAATTGTAATTTTTTTTGTTCGGTCTTCAATTTTCATATTTAAAATCGAATCAAATCAAACTATAAACATGTTAAATTTATCTTAATTTTTTTTATCTTTAAATAAACCATAACCTAAAAATTATTTTATTGTTTGATTTATATTTTAGGCATGTACCGTCCAATTTTTTTCATCTCAATTTATATTATGATAATGAAATTTTTTATTGAATATTCAGAAAGATAAAAATTGTTACAGTAGAATTTTTGAAAATTTTAATCATAAAAACTAAAAATTAATTGTTAAAAGGAAAAGTTGAATTTCAAATAAGTTTAGATTATTAAGTTCGGAAATTTTTGTAACCTTAAATAACCAGATTTTGATATACAATTGAAAATTTAAGTTACTTAAACCTTAATTTTTACTGGTATATTTCAATAATAATTTCCATGTGTGAAAAGTTGGAAAGTTTCTTATATTATATATTTTTTCATGCGAATTTATACTGAATATAAGATACATCCTAAATTCTAAACCCTAAATCTATAAATAATTTATAATTAAGTTGTTTCTTATTCTAATTTAAATTTTTTTAAAAGAAAAAAAAAATAGTTTGAAACGGCAACAAAGTGTCGAGCCTATGCTAAAATTATTGGGTGATTTCACTTGTATTTCTCGTAGCCCAATTCGCGTGGTTAGAGGAATGTCCAGCCCAGTCCATGTCATGTGCCATCTGTTCAATCCGTGTTCATTTGTTCCCCTTGGTCCGACCCATTCACATGTTCTTGGGCATAATTGTCATAAAAGTTTTGGTTCATGATATATACACTTCCTTTTTTTTATAAGTACACCTCCTTTTAAGAAAAATTAAAATTTTAAAATTTTTTTAATTTTTTAATTTTATACTCAAACATTTAATTTATTACTTTTTTTTACACATTTTTTCTCATTTTTTTTTCAAATTTTACATGCACCCCTTTCCTTTCTTTCACCTCACTTATTTTAATAAGTAATTTTAATTCTTTTGATCTTACATTACTCTTCTTCCCTCCTCTTTCAATTTTCTTACTCTTATCTCCTCTCTTCCCGCTTTTAGTTTTCACACACATGTAAAATGTATAACTAGTTTTATAATATTATAAGTGTGAGTGGCTTTTTTGACAATAAGTAAAAAATTAGAGAAATACGAAATGGTGCATGTAAAAATTGAAAAATAAAAAAAGATGTGTGAAAAATAAAAAGAAAATATTAAATTAAAAGTTGGAGATATAAAATTTTAAAAAAAAATTTATAATTTTAAAAAATAAAATAAAAGAGGTATACATATAAAAAAAATATATAATAAAATTAATAGAAAGAAGAAAAAAAAAAGGTGAATGTAACAAGTCCCACATCAGGGAGGTCTCCTTACTAGGGAGGCCTTATAAGGCGGGAGGTTCTCTAACCTCTTGGGCCGGCTTTTGAGGGATGGTTCCCCTCCCTTCCTTAGCCTTATGCTTGTTACAATTGGTGCTTTTGTTGAGAGTCAGCCAACTCGAGAAGGGCTACCCACGGAGGGTTCTGACCACCGGAGGGTTCTGACCGGAAAAGGCCGAGTGAAGTACTGGTAAGTGAAGTACCGTGGAGTGCAGCCATCGAGGACGCTGGCTTTCGAAGGGGGTGGTAATGTAACAAGTCCCACATCAGGGAGGTCTCCTTACCAGGGAGGCCTTATAAGGCGGGAGTTTCTCCAACCTCTTAGGCCGGCTTTTGAGGGATGGTTCCCCTCCTTAGCCTTATGCTCGTTACA